TTGCTGCTGTAAAAAAAAAATACCACAAACAAAGTGGCTTAAACAATACTAATTCAATGTCTTACAGTTCTGGAGATCAGAAGACTCACTGAACTTAAATCAAGGTGTTGGCAGAGCTGTGTTCCTTCTGGAGTTTCTAGGGGAGACTAAAACCCTGCCCTTCTCCAACTCATAGATGCTGCTGCTGCTGCTTTCTTTGGCTCATAGCCCTCTTCCATCTTCAAAACCAGAAATCACATCGCTCTGACCTCTTTCACCATTGCCACGTCTCCTCTGATTTTCCTGGTTTTCCTGCTTCTGTCTTATAAGGTCCCTTGTGATTACATTGGAATCACACATGCATTCCAGAATAATTTCGTCATCTCAGGATCTACAACTTAATCACATCTTCAAGATCCCTTTGCCATGTAAGGTAACATATTCAGAGGTTTTGGGGCCAGGATGGACATTGTTACCAACTGAATGTTTGTGTCCCTCCAAAACTCATATGGTGAAGTCCTAACCCCCAAGGTAATGGTGTTAGGAGATGAGAGGTCTTTGGGAGGTGATTAAGTCATGATGGTACAACCCTCATGAATGGGATTAGTGCCCTTATAAAAGAGTCCTTGGACAGCTCCCTTGCCCCTTCCACCTTAAGATATTACAGTGAGAAGATGGCCATCTCTGAGCCAGGAAGCAGTCATTGGACACTGAATCTGCTGGCTTCTTGATCTTGGACTTCCCAGCCTCCAGCAGTGTGAGGGGTATATTACAGTGAGAAGATGGCCATCTCTGAGCCAGGAAGCAGTCATAGGACACTGAATCTGCTGGCTTCTTGATCTTGGACTTCCCAGCCTCCAGCAGTGTGAGGGGTAAATGTTTGTTGTTAAAGCTACACAGCCTATGGTATTTGTTTAATAGCAGCCCAAACAAACTAAGCAGATGTCTTTGGGGGAATGTTATTCTGCCTATTATACCCGCCAACTTACCAATTCCAGCAGAAGGAACAGGCTTCCTTCCCAATGATTCTAGAAAACAACTTGGGGATGACTTTGCTTGGACTGGCTTGTTCATGTCTGGGAAACAGGAAGAAGTAGTTCCCTAAGGCAAATCCAAGTGGATAGGCAAAAGGAACCGATGACCCCAACACTATTAACTTCCTTTCAAACTCCTTTGCCATTGCACAGCAGTAATAAGTATTAATTCCCATAAAGCTGTTATTCAAATTACCCAAATTTACATTTCAACAGAGCGAGCAAAGTTCAGTGAATGAAATTGCTCACAAAGACGCAGAGCTCTGTTGATGGGAAATTCAGCATAGACAATTGTTCAAGAATCTGTTCAGTGGATAAAAGAAGGAATAAGAAGTCTTGAATGGAAAGTTGAATTGAGGGATGTACTAAATGGTATTTCTGGTAAACTGAAACTGAAGAGTAATAGAATGGATAGCTTGATGTAACTTGCTATGCCAACCCTGATGTTACACTCTAAACCTGAAACTCCAGGAAAGGCTCAAATGCAACAAATCACATAAGTACTTAGGCATAATCTTGAGTACTTCAGTTGTAGATGAAATTTTATTTAATCAACTCATACAGATCCTCACATGCTATGAATAACAGCTCATTTGGGTGAAGAAAGTAACCTGGCTGGCAATGAGTCAAAGTGAAGATTTTATTTTGATTAAACCCTTTGATGTATCCAAAAGGGTTTGAAAACACATTGAAGAAGTAAGACAGGTCAGCAAATACATGAATTTGATCAGCACTTAGCGAAAGCAGTTAAAGGGAAAGAAAGACCAAAAGAAAAGTGGCTGAAAGAACATAGAAGTCAAAGATGAAGAATTAAGTCCAGAATATGTGTGGCAGGAATGCTGAAGGAAAATGAAGATAAAAGTTGAAGAAGCTTTGAAACATTGTCCAAAACAAACTAAAGGATGAGGAATAGAATGTCCTAGAAAAAATTAATCAAAGTGTTATGTACTGTTAGCATTCAAACACAGTTAAGAAACATTATGACAAAAATAAATATGAGAGTTTTAAAGTTTTTATGATGATCATGGAGTTTTGCTCTTCCATGTACATTAAGTGATCCACAGTTATTTATATCACAGTTTTAAATATGTTATAGGAAAAGTCAAGTCAAGCACTTCAGTATAGAAAAAGAGATATAATTAGCCACGGTGTAGACCAAATGACATTTGGTTGTAGAGAGCCTTCAGGCATTGCAATATTCAGTATATTCTAGGGGTAAAAACAAACAAACAAACATAAAGGAAACTAAACTCATGTAAAGATAACAAGAAATAGTGCATATGTGTGTATACGCAAACACATGCATACATTCATATGTATATATGCAGTATATTTATATAATTATATGTAGCATTATATATATTATTATATATGTTATATGTAATGTATGTTATGTGTGTATATATACAAGAATATATATTGTGTGTATGTTTGTATATTTCTGTTCTTCTCAGAGAGGCAATGCTCTGGCAACTCCCTTATTCCCCACTCCCTACTCCTAGTATCCTATTAAATCTAGCCTTAGATTTCCCACTAGATCCTCCTCAAAAAAGTTCCCTATATCTGTAAATTAATCTTCACCCTAACTATTTCAGTGCGGGATTCCTATTGATCCAGTATTGCCCAGGCAGTCATATATTAAGCCTAGAGTTCAGAGAGGACTATGGCTGGCCTATGGATAGTGTTCAAACCGTGGGATTAAATGAGATAACTTATGGAGAAACTGTGGACGAGGAAGACATTCTTAAACTGAGCTCCTGGGCTCTCAGTTAGGATTCCTATTGATCCAGTATTGCCCAGGCAGTCATATATTAAGCCTAGAGTTCAGAGAGGACTATGGCTGGCCTATGGATAGCGTTCAAACCGTGGGATTAAATGAGAAAACTTATGGAGAAACTGTGGACGAGGAAGACATTCTTAAACTGAGCTCCTGGGCTCTCAGTTGAGGTTTAGCAAAAAAGGAGGAGTCAGCAAAGGAGACTGAAATCAACTAGTGAACTGGAAGAGAAACCAATAGAGTGTGCTGTCACAGAAGGCAAGACCAGAAAATGCTTCAAGAAGGTGTGGTCAACTATATCCAGTGCTTCTTGGGTTGAGTGGGGGCTTGTACAGTGAGAAAACAGAGGTGAATCAGAAGAGATAGGTGGAAAATAACTTACTAAAAAGAATTAATCAAATAATTCATAAGCATCTTTATTTCTATATTTAAAATTTTCATGCAATTCTGTATATTGGCATTTGTCTTTATGGTTTCTGGCTTTGGTGTCACACTTGGAAAGGCTTTTGATGCCTTGAAATTATAAATTACCTACTATTTATATTTCTTTTATTATTATGTTAGTAGTTTTGTTTTTATACATTTAAACTTTATTTTTATTATACATACATGTGGGGTACAACATTGATTTTCAATAATTGTGTAGAATTTGTGGTAGTTAGATCAGTATAGCTAGCTTATTCATCATTACAACATGTAATCATTCTTTGTGTCCATTGACCAATTCTTCATTAGCCCCTTTCCGTCTCCCCTCCACTCCCCTTTTCTACCTCTAGTCTTCTAAAAGTTCAGTGTATTACTCTGATTATTGTTTCTTCTTTCTTTTAGGCTATCAGAAACTTATTTTGGAATATGGCAGGGACCCAGATTTATTTTTTCCCCAACATATTAATTGAGCAATGCATCCTCTCTTCACTGATCTTAATGACCATATTTCTATAAGCATTTGGGTCTTTATCTTGACTTTCTGTCCAAGAATTGCTATTTCTACACATGTTCCATATCCATTTAATTACGTCAGATTTGTAAATTATTTCAGTAGCACTGAGCCCAGTTCATGTACCTTTCTCCATGAATTTGGTCATTGTTTTGAGTTGTATGTTACTAATGATCTTTCAGGAAGATCATCTGGCACCAAGTGCATTCTCTAATCTGTAGAGACAAGGTTAAATTTCCATGTTCTCACTTATTGGTGGGAGCTAAAAATAAATAAATAAATTCAGACACACACACACA